TTGTAAGTGGAGGAGCATCTGTACTTCCGCTTCTCTGACATTTGAATTAAATCCCATCATCACATCATTGCATCTGTAAACATTTCAACATGTATTCTAAAAGATAGTGACTTTAAAAAACAAAACAATACCATATCACACCTAAAAATAATTCTAATTTCTAATCAGTATTTGATATTGTCTAAAAAGATCTTTTCTTTTACAGATTCATTTATTTAAATCAGAAGTTCAAAAACTCTACACACGTTGTTTGATATGCCTTTTTAATAGGTTCCGATTTTTTCTTTTTCAATTTTGCAAATTATTTGTTGAAGAAACAGGTCACTTGGCCTATAGTATTTCCTGAAGTCTGCATTTTGCTGGCCAGAAATTTCAAAGTAAAATTTTTATCAATTAAAGTGTGATTTATCAATAAATCAATAAATCACATTTCCCATCCCTGTGCGCCATCATTGGATCCATCCTCAAAATCATATGCAATAAGATTTGTGTTATTCTTTTCAGAAGCAAGAAACCCAAGACTAAGGCTTCCTCTAGCACAGTGGCTCTCAACCTGTGGGTCATGACCCCTTTGGGGGTCGAATAACCCTTTCACAGGGGTTGCCTAAGACCATCCTGCATATCAGATATTTACATTACAATTCATAACAGTAGCAAAATTATAGTTATGAAGCAGCAATGAAAATAATTTTATGGTTGGGGTCACCACAACATGAGGATTGAGGCATTAGGAAGGTTGAGAACCACTGCAGGAAGTTTTATTGTAAGAATACATAAGATGGGGCTACACTAAAAATTATAGTAATCTCAGTTGTTAACATCTGAGAATTATAGGAAAATGCAGGCCTCTTATGCAAAACAGGAGCCTTGCAAAAGCCCGGTTTCTTGGGAGACTAACTGTAGTTCAGAGTCACAGGGGGTCTAACACGGCCCTAGCAACCCAATTGTCTCTTTGCTGTCTTTGTGGCAGAGATCTGCTAATACCTCCTCTATTTGAGAGCACCTGTGTTTCTGCCCCCACACCCACTTGTCCATGGGCTCAAGTCCAATGCTGTGAAGGGGTTCTAATTGGTCTAATGAGTCATTATTTCCCCTCAGGGCAGAGCTTTGATGCCAAACTACTTCACACTAACTATACTTCAAACCATTAATCATCCTAGTTCCATTTTAGTTGCCCTTGTTGGAAACCCAATCAGGCCTCTTCATTGTGACTAGAGTGACGGGTTAGAATACAGACACTTCCATGGAACCATTTTGGTCGCCACAGGCTGTGGTTATGACAGACATTTTCAGAAGGAAAAGACTCCAGTTAAAGTATTTGTTCCAAAAGATATATTTAGGAGATTTAAAATACATTATATACATTCATACACACACAGAAAATAATTAATTCATGACTAAGGCTATAAAATATCATAGTTTATTAAATCGTAGTAAGTATGC